ATAGATCATTTTGTAAGCAATAATGGATAGTGGCTAGCAGTGGAATCCAGGACGCGCGTTTCGTCCTGTTTGGAACTCGTCAGCTGGACATACCTGCATCTCAGAGTTGGTGTTCACTCTGGGACTCAAACCCAGTACCACTCGCTTCAAACGCCATTGCGTTATCCACTCAGCTACTGAGTCCTGATAGCCACTTACTTGTGCAATGGGGTGAATTTAAATCTACTTGGTATTGTTTGGCTTGTATCTTCACATTGAGGTTTAAGACTACAATTGATCAGTCTGTTATTGGCGTATGTGCATATTTTGCGTATGCCTCGATATTGCCTTAATTCACAAGCTTTTTGTAAGCAAAAGACTGATCAATTGCAGTCTTAAATCTCAATGGGAAGATACAAGTCAAACAATACCAAATGAATTTAACATAGATCAGTTTATACTAATATAACAATAACAATATTATATAACAATAATATTTAAAAACACCATTCATAAAACAATTTAATAAAAACAATGCCTATGAATATAATGTTCAGATCCTAGTTTCTAGTTCATGAGTCGGTCATTTACTATTAGTTTATAAGAAGAATAAACAAGATTCAAATATACCGACCTACTATAGATGCTAGAACTATTTTAATTAAGGATTAATAACAATGAAATACTGTTTGTAAATTAGAGATAATTTAAATGAATAATACAATATTTATTTGTATGTATTTGATAAGTGTATATGGATCAATCCTTGACGCAATGTTAAGTAATATATATATATATATATATTAATTTCAATGGTTAAGATCATGAGTTAGTTGAAGCAAGACCATTATGGAAAACCTGGAAGCACTGGACGGCCGTTTCGTCCTATTGTGGGACCTCTCAACAGTGCGCATGCACCTTACTTTAAACTAGTTTGAATGTATCTCTCTTTCAGTCATGAAAAGTGAGAGAAAGTGTAATCTTTATTGCTTACAATATCACTTACTTATTTTGTTTTGTTATTTGATGACGTAGATAGAATGGTATTAAAGATTTTATATAACAGAAAAATGAAATGATACAGTACATATCATTTGTGACAAGTAAACTTTATTTTCATATAAAATGACCATTGGATTGGAAACATACAATTTTTTTCTTCTTTTTATACTTTATGTTTTGATTAAAGTGCATCACTTAAAAAAAGGAAATGTTATGCAACTTGGTAACAAAGAGTTACTTGATTTTAGTTAGGAAATAAAAAAATAAACACAAGCAAATAGATTCAGCTAATCTTTTTTAATCGATTAATAAAATATAATATCACAATCTCAGTTTTATAAATATTCCAATAGTTGAAATCATGAGTCGATTGAAGCTAGACCACCATGGAAAACCTGGAAGCACTGGACGACCGTTTCGTCCCAGTATGGGACTCCTCAGCAGTGCGCATCCACGATCCCGCCTTTCGCGAGATTCGAACCCAGAATCTGTCAGTATCGCGAGCGATTTCGTGCATTGGTTGAAGTTAGACATTAACACCATGGGATGCCGGCTCAGTGGTCTTATGGTTAAGCGTTCACGCGTGAAAGTGATAGGTCCTTGGTTTGAATCTCTCGGGGGCCGGGATCGTGTATTTGCACTGCTGAGGAGTCGCATAATAGGATGAAAAGGCCGTCTAGTGCTTCCAGGTTTTCCATGGTGATCTAGCTTCAATTGACTCATGATTTCAACTATTGAAATTACTGAAATCTTCGCAAAACCCCTTCTCATTATAAATATTTATATATATTTAATATATCAGAACTTTAGTCTTAACTTTATCGAATAGCTTCATAGTATTTGAGCATCGACTTAACGTAAGGCATCATTACGGAAGAATGTGTTTGTAAAATTTAAGTGAATGACTTTGAAGTAAATTCAACGTTTTGGTTGGCAATCTGGTCTAAACTTTTTTAAAAGAAGTAATGGAAAATCTAACTGAAAATGAACATTACTTGAAATAAGTAGTGATTCCTAGGATATATTTACATTTGATCTAGAAATCTTCATTTTATTCAATGTAGTGTTGTTTAGATCCATCGAATAATGTTTTCTTTAAAGTTAACCTACTTCAAATTAATTACTTTGGATATTTAAAAAAACAAATAGTAGGTTGAATTCATTTAATATGATTTGTTTGAATCTTTGCATTGATGTTTAGAACTACAATTGATCTGTCTCTTATTGGCATATATGCACCCTGTGTGGATTACCTCGATATTGCCTCAAACCACAAGCATTGTAAACAAAGATAGATGGTGACTATCAGTGGAATTCAGAACGCGCGTTTCGTCCTTTTTTGAACTCTTCAGATGAATGTAAGTTGAATAAAGTTGATTTTAACCGAAAATATTAAATTTCAATTGCTTGCTTTATAAACTATCAGTAAGCTATATGATTTAAACAATTTATAATTAATTAGCTACGAAATTGTCTATAGTTTTGTCGTAAACTAGATTTTCGTTTTTTTTTTTTAAATCACACAACCCATTTACTTATATCGATAAGTTAAATTTGTATTCTGCCATTACACTGTAGACAATTAGGTACAATGTAAGGGATTTTAAGTTACATTTTCTTTTGTCATCACTAAAATATCAACATGATATTAATGTTAAAGTAATCTGTTTATTCCAATGTCAGACTAAAAAAAGAAAAATGATATCCATTAGTATTTGTTAACTGATATATAACTTCACTTTTAATTCACCTCTTTCCTTTAATTTCTGATCATTGAAACACTTTTGTTTTAAACAATACAAAATGATGTTCTTTTTTTAAAATAGTTTCCTAGATGTTAGTTATAAGATCTAGATTATGTTAGATTAAAACTAAAGGTCGATCATACCGTCGTATATTTTGGAAAGTAATCTTTACTTACATACTTCAAAGTATAACTTTTAAATTGTTCGTTATTTATCGAATTCATGTATTGCATTTTTTTCTAGTAGTAGTTGATGAATGTGAAATTTTATCAAGGACCGAAGTTAGACAAGAATGCTTGGCCTCTCTCTGGCAATTGACTGAATTATGAAGACTTTGACATCTGAGGGGAACCATAGAATATAATGAACAGGTTGAATATAACTAGATGATTTGGACTTCACAGATAACCTAGCCCTTCTGTCCCATACATAGTAGTAAATGTAGTTCAAGACAAATAATTTAGCAGCAGTCTCTACATCAGTAGACCTCAACATACACAAGGGGAAAAGCAAGATCGAGGCAATCCACACAAGATGCACATATACCAACAAGAGACTATTCATTTGCAGTCTCTCTCTCATCACATTTATAAAACTGACAATATATACATACAGTTTCAGATAGACCAGTTATAAATCATTAATTATTGCTTTTAAGTTACACATAAAATGTATTTAAGTTTACAGTTAAAAAGTATAATTTAGTTACTATTTCTAAGGTATCAACACTTTACTTGTTTTTCTAGATATTCACCTATGGGACAATTTTGAAAACTGATTGTAAGTTCATTTACTGTGGTTTTTTCGATTTGACTAATAATAAGAACTCAATTTCGTATTAGCAACATCATATAACTTATTACTCATTTTCGTAACTTTGATAGCATCAATCTAACAATAAGAATCTGTACACTTTTGAATGGTAAAATACAAATGTAAATATTTTACTGTTGTATTATTTTTATGCTTGAATATTACATAAATAACTGTATTTTTCTATAACTCCGCCTGACGTCCTTCCGGGGGCTACTTCCGTTCCCAAGCCCAGATAAAGGAGGGTCGGACATGGAGTTAGCGACCCCATCCCGTAGAAAACCAACTCGCTAAGAAAACGCTGACAAGAAAAAATTATTCAAACCTTTTAAACTCTGCCCTGGGAGTCAGAAGGTCTTCATTTAGAAAAGTTACGACGTCTCATAATGGAAGCCAAGTTCCTTCGAAAGTCATGAAGCCGATGACACTTCTGAAAACTAGAGCAACCATTTATTTAGGTACACGGAATATTCATGCAAAGCAAGAGCAGCATATTTACAACTGAAGAACATCTGGAACTCAAAACAACTGTCAACCAACACTAAGGTCAGGATTTTCAATACAAATGTCAAAACAGTCCTACTGTATGGAGCAGAAACCTGGAGAACTACGAAAGCCATCATCCAGAAAATACAGATGTTTATTAACAGTTGTCTACGCAAAATACTTCAGATCCGTTGGCCAGACACCATCAGCATCAACCTATTATAGAAGAGAACAAAGCAGATCCCAGCGGCGCAAGAAATCAGGAAGAAGCGCTGGAAGTGGATAGGACACACATTGAGGAAAGCGCCTAACTGCCTCACAATGCAAGCCCTCACATGAAATCCTCAAGGACAAAGGAAAAGAGGAAGACCAAAGTACACATTACACCGGAAAATGGAGATAGACATAAGGAAAATGAACAAGAATTGGATGGAACTAGAAAAGGAGGCCCAGAACAGAGTGGGTTGGAGAATGTTGGTCAGCGGCCTATGCTCTATTAGGAGTAATAGGCGTAAGTTAAGTTAAGTTGTATCTTTCTATCATATATATATATATATATATATATATATATATATATATATATATATATATATATATATATATATATCAGTAGAAAGATTTCCATAGTGACCTCTATAATAGTTTACTTGATCAAGCTAACAAGCTCTTATGTATTTCTACATGGTTAACCAAATGTATACAGCATTTTCCAAAGAACCATTCACTTTTGGCTTTAAACGCTTCAAAGAAAAATAGTAGTAAATTATAGAATCTATCAATATTTTTTGTGAATATAATCCTTGTCAAATTAATGTTTGTTCTATGGGTTTCTTGTATTCAATAATAGATGTTAGTTCCAGATCTTGACTCAATAAAAACATTGACATATTTTTAAACTGTTGCATTAAAATTCTATTTAATCTAAATTGGTTAATAAAATTTCGACCTAAAATATGTAGTTAATGAATTACTTACATGATATATTATATCGTACACTGTCAGAACGAACTTTGCTTGATTTGATTCCAGTACTAGTAACTTCACAGAAAAAAGAAGCACCATTATCTTCTTCACTTAATGTGACCATAAACTCTTGAGCTATATCTTTATGTATATTCATAAAAGAATTTGACTGACTGAGATGTCTTGTTTTAGTTTGGATAACTGTTGCCTTAGATTCATCAAATCGTTGACGTAAAAGTGATAATTTTGGAGGAGGATTACCAGGTTCAGCAGTACATTTAATTTCAAGTATAGTACCAACTTGAACAAAATAATCTGGAGATAAGTTTGTTTCCAAACGTACAGATTTAGATGGATCTATAAATTTAAAAAAAGGAATATTTTATAAAATATATGCTAAGACCAATAGTGAATACGATGTAAACGGGAATAAGGAAAATGGTTACGTATTTTGATATTACACTATTGTTAGATACATTCAACTAAAATTCAAAAACTATGAATACTGGGTTTAATTTCGATAAAAATGTTTTCGTCGTGCATTTATAGAATGTCAAAAGGACATAACTACCATCTTTGAATTTCGCAGTATTATCTTAACTCTGACAATATCATCCAAGATATTCAATATATTTATACAGGATTTATTAGTACATCTTGTAGTGTCGGTTATTATGTTAAGCCCATATACCTTATTCCGGCTTTCGGACAGGCCAATTTATTCATTCTAATTGAGTCATATTTTGACCTTGTTAATTATTCGCTTATCAATTTTGACTGTTTTTATTTGAGCACATATATGTGTGTGCCCTTCTTATCCTATTCATCACATGTCTGTAGTCTATTTTTGTGTGACTATAAATATTGAATAACGCTCAACTAAATGAAGTTGGCTTGCCCACCATCCCCACTGCGCGTCGTTTCGCCTCGCTCTATTTCATTCGCTTCGTATACAAAATATATGTATTCAAAAGTCTATCCTCGTTTTTTGACTTATTTAATTCCGTTGTTGACTAACGCGATTTAAGTTGATGATTATATACGAGAATAGGCGATATATATATTTCAATAACAATCATTCATACGATTTAGTTGGAGTCAGAACTCAGGCCACTAAAGTGGAGAGCCCGTCAACAAACATCGGCCGATCTAAATGACGACAAAATAAAGGGCCCCACTAAAATCTTATGTCCCCACTAACCAAGAATTAATATTCATGGATGTAATACCTATATAGTTGTGCACAGAGAAAATTTCGTACCTTAACAAACTCAGTCTGAGGAATATTTATGTTGATAATAGTTCAGTCATCATCTGTCAACAATAGCTAAAAAGCCATTTCAATAAATGTGTACTGGACGTACAACTGTATAAAATGCCAGTCAATAACCCGTGATATCTGTGTGAGTGAATTAACTGATTAATTTCTATTTGTATAGTAGTAAAGTGTTTTTCTTATGAGTATCATTTTCTCAAATGAAACAATGAAAATCAATATTCTGATGTATTCATAATGTAATCTGATGCAACATAAAATATTGGAGGAAGCTTCACAGAAATGTGTATCACTTCAGTCAGAGTGGTTAATTTAAAGTATCATTCTATTCAATGCTTCAGAATTGAAGGATTTAGCAGACACTACTTTAAAATTAAATATAAGCTATATATTCTCGAAAATCTCAGTGAATATGTAGCAAAACATTTGGACAACAGGTGATTATGAAGGCCCAAGTAGCTCATAATTTAATTTTTGCTGGTGATGAAAATATGCTTATATTATTAAACTGGATGGTTATCACTGATCACTGTTTCTTATGTGTTGATTAAGATTCAAGTAATCAGTTGACATTTCCGTTTAGTTATTTCTGAAAGAATTTAAATTGGTAGATCAGATGAACCATTATAAAAATAGTACGAAACACAACTTTGTAGTATTTGTTGAAGTATTAGAAGTAATTTTTTAAATCACTTTGAGTATTTAGATAAATATGAACGGTTTTCAATAGTTTTACTTTGAGCTTCACTTCAGAGAAAAACTGTAGTAAGGCGACCACTGAGATCATATAAGTACTGTGCAGAAGTTTCAACCTGGTATGGGACTTTTTGTCTATGCGAATGGAAGGCGCCACTGGGGATCAAACCTAGGACCACTAGACATTTTGGAGAAGGCTTACGTTTCAAACCATCGGGTTTTAGTTCAGAATTCCTGACTTCAGTCAGGAGCTAGGGTGTATGTAGAATTATTGGTGTATATTTGCTTTACAGGTCAAATGTTTGAACTACATTGTTCACAGGTTTTCACTAGAATCGTGTAAATTACATTAGGAATTTAGTATTTAATGAGTTAGAAATATTAACTTTTTGATCCCAACAAAATGATCTGGAGGTTAGGCTGTCACTACAAGGCTTGAACGTTCTCTTTTTAATTCAAAGTATCCTTAAATCATCAATCGCTTTTTATTTTGCTTCTTGGGTTCACTGTTGATGAAAAACGAAACTTGACAATGAGTACAATTTTAAATAGCCAGTTTTGTTGATAAACTCTCATAAAGCAAGAATAGTAATCGTTTCGGGCTACGGCGTCTGTAATGTTACACAAAGAATACAATCAATGCTTTAAACAGAAGAAGGATAGAATATCAAACTCAAAGATGTAGAATCACATCTTGAATGTTGGCGATATTTACGTATTTATTAGTAACAAATAAATGATAGTATGGCTTTCAGTTATTGACTTGCAAGTGTCATCATTACATGGTAAAGTGTTTACAAGTGATTAACATTTTGTGTTTAAATGAAGCTTTGAAAATAAGTGACATATCATAAAAGCAAGTAATTATATTAACCTTGGATAAGAAATGATTGGTTTCATGTAAGTGTAACTAAAAAGTACACAATAATGCATTCTTTATTTTCTAATCGATAAAAAGGTTTCATCAGCACATATAAAATTCATAAACTTACAATAAACATCGTAATCAGCCTGTCTTTTGTCACGACGTTGTTGTTGACCTGTTATTTGGCAATCAATTTTTGTTTTGCTTACTTCAGGATCAGTGAATCTCTTCGGCTTTGGCTGATCAAATGAATTCATTACTAACTTCCAAGTGATTGTTGTAACATTAATGAATTCTTGATCGTGTGCATTTGAATTATACTTGTGTAACTCAGTGATATTTGTCACATTTGAGGAAAGTGTATAATCACATTGAACATTAACTGATGTACTAGATGGGTTAGGAAGAGGAACATAGGATTGAACTTCAGAATCCTGCGTATCTGAAAAATAAAATGAATTTATTACAACAATGAAAGAGTACACATTTGATAACTTGTTATTTTTCTTATTATTCATAGAAACACATATGGGTATCTTATGCAAAGGGTCTTATTTAGTTCAGTTTTCGATAATGTTGATTAGTCTTTGTAATCATCTCGTTATCTGGAGAAAGATACTTCTGCTCTCATCTTTCGATTTACGGTATATACTTTTAGATTTCTCTCGAAGCATTAACATAAGTCAGGTTTATCGAATACTGACTTTGAAATTTTTAATTCCAAATCATCTGTAGAATTTTATAAGTAAAATAATTTTATAGCCTATTATTTTCTACACTGTACATCGTCATTTTAAATCAAGACAGATCAAATATCGAGTAAAATTTTGATTGAAGGTTTATTACCATGCATATGGTGAATTCCCTATCTTTGCATAAATTATCCAGCAACTGAATTTTTTTAACATTCTAAAAATACAAAGTTCACGAGTTGATCTAAGTTTAACAACCATTGCAAACTCGGAAGCACTGGATGGGTGATCCGTCCTGATGTGAGACACTCCAGCAATGCGAACCCACAGTCCTGCATGTGGAAATCCAACACAGAATCTTCGATCTTGCACGCGAACCATGACCTATAGACCACTGAGTAGGTATCCGATGGTGTTATTGTTTAACTTCAATCAATCTATAATATTGCACAATCCTTTATCTATTGTGTTAGGTGGATAACTGTTTCACATTCGACACGGATTGGACTACACTGGTCAGTTCTTCTTATTATAAGTCGAGGAGTTATATCTTGAAGTTAGTTACTAGTTGGCCCGTGATTAATATGAGAATGGGGTTTGTGTATATTGTAGTATGTTCAAAGTCAAATTCATGAATTAGCCTAAGCTAAACCACCATTGAAAATTTGAAAGCACTGGACAGCCATTTTGGCTCTTGAATGCAGACTCAGTGGTGTACAGGTTAAGCGCTTACGCACAAGATCAAAGGTTATGGGTTCGAGTCTGACAAGCAAGACAGTGAGTGAGAACTGCTGAATAGTCCTACGCTAAAATGAAACCTCCATCCAATTCCTCCAGATTTAAAATAGTGTTCTAACTTAGATTAATTTGTGAATTCCACATTGAACAAACTACGATCTCCACAAATTCTCATTTTGATTAAAAAAACATACTAACCACTGAATACGTCTATAGTTACATTCTGATCTTAAATTTATAGTCATAACATCATACATGAAACATATTTTATGCTTATCTTTTTTTGTTTTAAAATAAAATCTAAAACTGATTCAAACCTTTTCTTTATTTAGGATTTCATTCTTTCACTATTATATATAAAATATACAAAAAGGTAATTATACCCAGGTTTTTAATGGTTCACTTTACAATGAACAACTGTACGAGATTATCGATTTTCGGTTATATTTATTCTTTATTTTCACATCATAACATTAATTTCCTTTTCTACAATAATCTTGACTTTTAATATAATAATAATAGTGACAATAATAATAGTAGTAATAATAATAGTAACAATAATAATAGTAATAATAATCATAGTAATAATAATAATAGTAATAATAATAATAGTAATAATAATAGTAATAATAATAATAGTAACAACAGTAATGGTAACAATAATAATAGTAATAATAATAATAGTAATAATAATAGTAGTAGTAATTTCATTTTTGTTCATTATGTGAACAATAAATAGACTATTTATAACTAAATAAAATACAGAAAAATTTTTCTTTCTTGATGCTTATTTATATTACTTAAATTAACTGTGAACTAAACTAATTAGATTCGGTAGAGTTTTAATTTATTTAAAAGATTCAATCATAAATTATAAACAAAACAAAGAAAAAACTGTACAATCATAATTAATTATCTTCATTAGTAATATAAAATAATTTAATTGTTGAAATATCTAAATAGAATAAGTGTAAACGTGGGATACTAAGAAGAATTGCAAATGTTATGAAATTATCAGTTTATATATATATATATATATATATATATATATATATATATATATATATATATATAATGAAAGGGGGGTTTTGTGGAGATTTTAAAAATTTAATAGTTGAATTCATAAGTCAATTAAAGCTAGACCAACATGAAAAATTTGGAAGCACTGGATAACCGTTTTGTCCCAGTGTGAGACACCTCAGCAGGTCTGTTGTGAGATAGTTAGACATTACCATTGTTGGATGCTGGCCAGATTAGTGGTCTAGAGGTTAAGTGTTCACACTTGTGAACCAATAGGTTCTGAGGTCGAATCTTGCGAGGCGGGAACGTGAATGCACTCTGTTGAGGAGACCAATACTAGGATGAAACGGTCGTCCAGTGCTTCAAGGGTTTCCTTGATGGTCTAGCTTTAAATGACTCAAGAATTCAACTATCATATATATATATTAATGACATTCATTAAACAAAAAACAAGAAAGGAATGAACATGGTATCTTTTTATCAGTGTAAGAGTTAATAAGTTCAACATGGTAATGTTGATGTGTTGATATCAAAGAATAAATGTTCACTTTATACTTAAACACAATAAAGATTTTCTAAGATGAGTTGACTTATAAATCTAATACAAAGAATGATAGCATGTATATATGATACAAGTCTCATTATAATATGATATACATTGTATATAAGATGTTTGTTTACATATTTAAGATGACCGAATCTAAGAGATTTTTTCAAATACTATAAACATAGTTAAATGTAAGTTGGTCAATGAATAGTTATAAATAAATAGCAGTCAAACACACAGTACAGAATATGAAATGATTTGTAGTTTTGCATGTAGTAAAAGAAAAATTGCCTGTCCAGTGCTCCTAGGTTTTCATTGGTGGTGTAACATTGATCCATTCATGATATTATTCTTAACTCAACAATTTCCACAATCCTATACTGCTAATTAGTATGTGCTCACTAGTGACTAGCTTCAAGATGGATTTCCTGGAGTTCTAATGAAAATTCGTAACTAGTGGCATTCAAGAGACAGTTATTTACTGAAGACAATAGTGGACGGTCACACAGTATCGCGGATTGGTTGAAGTTAAACATTAATACCGTTGAATGCCAGCTCAATAGCTCAGAGCTAAAGCGTTTGCACGTGAAATCGAAGATCCTGGATTCGAGTCCCATACCAAAACGAAGTGACCGTCTAATATTTTTAAGTTTTTAATAGTGGTCGAACATTGATCCATTCATGATATCAATCTAAATCCTCTTTTCATATTTCTCGAATTCTATAAAAAACCTCGTACAAAAATATATATTTCACAAGTTGAAATCATGAGCCAATTGAAGCTAGACCACCATGGAAAACCTGGAAGCACTGGACGGCCGTTTCGTCCTAGTATGGGACTCCTCAGCAGTGCGCATCCACGAACCCGCCCCCCGCGGGATTCGAACCCAGGACCTACTGGCTTCGCGCGCGAGCACTTAACCATTGCGCCACCGTACACCATTGTCTTCAGTGAGCTGATATCTCACAACAGACCTGGTTGGACTCCACTGGTAACGACTTCTCACTAGAACTCCAGGAGTGTCTCCTGAAGTCAGTCACTAGTGAGCAGGTGATTATTATTATCAGAATGGGTATACATGTAATAAACCTGTCTTCTGTAATATACTAATATTAATTTGGTATCACTCCAGTGAAAATATGGCTTGTTAATTTTAATATTAAAAACTGTCAGTATATATATATATATATATCTGATGCTATGAGTTGTATATAGTGTATATAGTGTTATACAAAATCCTTCAAGGACCTATACTAAGGTTTATTGAAGCCTTGGCTTTACGGAAATTGAAACTCCATTTATGTGTTCAAAAACAATTTGTTCTTACACTTAACCTACCCTGTAATACTGATTTATTATCCAGAGTGGTAATCACATTTATTTTTGTGTACTTTAATATTTTTTCTTTTGTTATGACTTACCCTTAACCTGTCTAGTTGACATTTTAATTTTTATATATAAATGTTCTTAACAAGTATATTATGTGTGATCAGATTGTTCGAAATGTATTGTGCAAATATATTATATAATTCTGATAAACTTCCTCTTCTCATTGCATTATCAAAATTTATCAAAGGGACTAATTGTTTTAAACTTTGCTGTTAACAATGGTTTTGTATTATACAATATAAACATCAGTTTATACAGATAGATATGTATGTCTCACAAATTGAAATCATGAGTTAATTGAAGCTAGATCACCATGGAAAACCTGGAAACACTGAACGGCCGTTTTGTCCAATCTGTGACATGGATATTATTATCTACATTATACAATTACATGTACATTTAATCAAAAAAAGGAAACAAATTCAATCTAGAAACGATTCATTTATAACTTGTCTAAAATAGTTTCTTTTTTATTAACAAGGAAAGTTATCTCATTTTATAACAATGCTGACTTTTATGCTTTATTTTTCAAATAAAAAGAAAAAAAGAAAAAAGAAAAAGGAAAAAGGAAAAAAGGAAAAAAAGAAACATTAACTTTATTTATACGAATATTCGTCAAGATTAGAACGAATAGTCTGACAGTAATTGACCGCTGAGTGTAGAGAAGTCATTATATGTGAAAATTATATTTGAAATATTTTCAGCGATTGAAATTTAACTAATTTCAATGTTTCGTCGAGCTAACTTGTCTACCCTGAATAAGTCCAGACAAGTTAGCCGGACGAAACATTGGAATTAGTTAAATTTCAATCGCTGAAAATATTTCAAATATAATTTTCACATATAATTAACTTTATTACTTTGAAAATGAGGTGAGAAAAAGAATGAATATTGGCTAAAAATAAAATCGGTTCATGTTTTTGGGTAAGAAACAAAAAATGAGAGATAATTTCTTTTCTTATTTGTATAGTTTTGTTGTTAAATAATAGTCGTTTCTTTGTTATGAAAACATAAAAATAGGTTTTTGTTTTTCTGGGCATATTATCCTAAATTTC